CTGTCCTAACTACCCAGAACCCGAAGGTTGTAACTACTAACCTGCCAAGTGACAGGCATTTACAAGAAACTGAGAAAATCACACATGACCTGTCAGAAAAGGCGGGTGCCCCGCTGTTTTTTCATTACTCTCTTGCATATATATATATATATATATATATATATATATATATATATATATATATATATATATATATATATATATATATATATATATATATATATTAGCGGAATCGCCGCCCTCCGGGCGGCTCTTTCGCATTAAGGTAGACCACATTTTTGGTTTTGCCATTAGCAGCAAGTATGTACAGATTTTTGCCAGTTCCCACTCTGGAGCATCCAACATAGAACTGTCCATGAGAGAAGCAAGGAAACACCAGGTTTAGGCCAACCATCTTTAGGGACTGTCCCTGGCTTTTGTAGATGGTCATGGCAAAGCTCACTTTAACCGGGAACTGAAGTCGCTTGAACTCAAATGGCAGGTCAGTGGTGATGAGAGGCATCCTTGGTATAAAAACGTCCTCTCCTTTAGCTTTTCCTGTCAGTATTGTAGCTTCCAGTACACGTGGCATCATGTTCTTCACCACCAGTCTTGTGCCATTGCAGAGGATTGGTGGTTCAAGATTTCTTAAGAGCATTATAGGAGTTCCAATCTTGAGAATGAGGTGGTGAGGAGGCATTCCAGCGGGCTCCAAAGAATTAAGGAATTCTGCAGGGTACTGGACTGCTTGGTCCTGGTCGATTACTGTATCAACAGATTTGAATGAGGTCTCACTGCCTGGAAGCTGTCTGAGTAGAGTCATGTTGATTTCAGCCACTGTTTCATTCTTTGGTGCCAGAATTGCGCGTTCACGCACTCACTTGCGATCCTTGTAGTGGTGGATAATGTTTGGGTAGACCATGTTAGTGAGCTCAGTTGAGGACTTTACAACATTTCCACATCCTTGAGGAATGATTAATTGTCCTTCTGAATCAACAGGGAAAGTTCCATTCCCAATCTGTAGTAGAAGGTTTGCAAACCGTCCAGCATCCTGATCTCCTTGTAGATGTACTCTCATGTTTGTGGATAGGGTGAGTGTCTGAACACTTCTCCAAAGGTATGATGCCTTGAGGCACGCATTCAGTTCGTCAGCTGGAGTGCTTCGAGGAATGACAGGTAGGGTCTGGCGAAAGTCTCCAGCAATGACCATTGTAATGCCACCCATGAGCTGGTCATTTTCTCGTATGTCTTGCAAGGTCCTGTCCAATGCTTCAAACGCTAACTTGTGAGACATAGTGCATTCATCCCAGACTATGAGGCTGCATTTTTCTAAGAGTTTTGCCTTTGCCGATCCTTTTTTGATGTTGCACACTGGATTCTCATTGTGAGCGAGGTTGAGAGGCAGTTTAAAAGTTGAGTGTGCAGTACGTCCTCCTTCTAGTAGTGTTGCAGCAATGCCTGAGGATGCCACAGCAAGAGCAATTTTCCCCTGATGACGTACTTTGGCCAACAGAAGGTTGATCAGGAATGTTTTTCCTGTCCCGCCAGGTGCATCGAGAAAGATCATACCTCCCTGCTCCGCTTGTATCGCTTGCAAGATCTGTTCATAAGCATTTGCTTGATCAGGCACCAGGTGAGGCTCATTTTCTTCAAGAAAATTCACCAGAACTTCAACTGAGTAGTTTGTATCTCTGAGCAACTCCCTGTTTGCAACTACTGGTTCTTCTCGGTTTGGGGAAGGCAATCCAAAATCAGTCAGGCCACGGTAGGACGCCACCCTCCGGGGGGGCTCCACATTGTCTCACTGTTCAGTCCCCAAAACTTATTCTTCCATCAATAGTTCATTAACGGTGTATGTAAGTTCCACCATGTTTTTTACTACAACGGTACAGCAATGTATATTTTTTTATCATTAAACTGTTATTATTTTATTGTCTAATCATCACTACATATAACACCACCCATCATCACTACATATAACAATATCCATCATCACTACATATAACACCACCCATCATCGCTACATATAACAATATCCATCATCACTACATATAACATCATCCATCATCACTACATATAACATCATCCATCATCACTACATATAACATCATCCATCATCACTACATATAACATCATCCATCATCACTACATATAACATCATCCATCATCACTACATATAACATCATCCATCATCACTACATATAAACACCATCCATCATCACTACATATAACACCATTCATCATCACTACATATAACAACATCCATCATCACTACATATAACACCATCCATCATCACTACACATAACACCATCCATCATCACTACATATAACACCATCCATCATCACTACATATAACACCATCCATCATCACTACAGATCGGTAAAGTAGTTTCCGAGATTCTTGTGCAGACACATAAACACAAACATAATTCTTTGTTTAATATATATTTATTTATTTATTTATTTATTTATTTATTTATATATACAGTAAATGAATTGGTAGGAGTATGCATGCATAAACGAATTATTAAAGTATTAAATTACGTGAACCAATAAGTAAATGCAGTACAATGAAATGAAAGTAAACATCCCTCGCTCATACTGCGCTTCTTTCCTATAGCTTCAGCAAGGAATTTGACCTTTAGTTGACTTGACAAAACCATCTTCCTTCACGACAGTGGCGGCCGTAGGTACACCGTGTAGTTACGCCGTGTATCCAGGTCACATGTAGACAGTCAACAACTAGTTATGTTTTCACTAAGTTTTAACCAACGATGTGTGAAAACCTTTCGAGGCTTGATAAGCTGAATATAAACAAAGTCCTTAATTACATAACTTTTAAATTCAGATGGAAAGTTAACTCTTGATCTTTTGATGGCTGAGTGACTGAGGCCCACAGGCAGTACACACAGCCACTTAATTAACTGTTGTATGATGCCAGCTTCAGATAACACACACACACACACACACATTGATCACCAGAGGGCCAAGACCTACCAGGCCCCCCTTGGCCATTTTCGGCCCCATTCCTCAAGTCCCTCTCCCCGACCCATCCTCACCACCGGGATATCAACATAATCAAAAGTGACAATTTCGTTTCGGAAAGAAGTGGGATCAATGTTGAACAGTGATGAACAGTGTTTAAGCCAGTGAATTCAGCACTAGACAGTACCAGTGAGAGCCGTGACCCACCACTGAGATAAGGATCCCTGGGAACTGACCACCATCTTCTGACGAGGAGGTGCTAATCAGTCCACCATGGGAACAACAGTGGGTCGGCTTCACACCTGACTACAAAATAACACAACATCACCTAGCAGATACTGAGGTACTGTGACACCACCTCACACTACCCAGTGTCTCCATGACCACGTGAGGTCCTTCATGTCAACACCTACGGACGAGTTACTGCACCACGTGAACACCATACCACCAGGTGCCTCCATGACCACGTAAGGCCCTTCATATCAACACCTATAGACGAGTTACTGAACCATGAGGCCATGTGACCTCACACAGTATGGCAAGAGATCAGTCCGGACCAGTGGCGGACTGGGTCAAAAATTTCTACCGGGAAAACTTGTAAAAGGGCCCACTCAAAAGGGTCCAAAAGGGCCCACTCTTTTTTCTTTTTCCCGTTATTTCCAAAGTGATGGATCATCACTTTGGGGCCCACCGGGAAATTTCCCGGTATCCCGGTGGGCCAGTCCGCCACTGGCCCGGACCATCAGCTGCAAACTATAATAATTTGTATGTTCAATTCATGTTCCTTCTCCTTTCAGTAATGAAAGCTTTTGTTAAACGACCCATCTACCCCATGTCTTTGCGTCTAATAATTCATTATTGTCTTGTGTATATTTTCAGCCTTTGGGCTGAACTTTTTTCAATAAACCGTTACTTATTATTATTATTATTATTATTATTATTATTATTATTATTATTATTACTGTTATTACTATTATTTTACACACACACACACACGCACACACACGCACACTCACACACACACACACACACACGCACACACACACACACGCACACACACACACGCACACACACACACACACACACACACACGCACACACACACACACACACACACACACACACACACACACACACACACACACACACACACACACACACACACGCACACACACGTTAAAATGTCAACATTGACGGAGCTGCCAATTACATCTCCTTCATCTCTACCTCCATGATGGCGATAATAAGAGTTGACTAAGGTGTTATCTTTCTCTGCACTACAAGATTATTTATCTTTTAATGTAACTCTTACCTGCCTTAAATAATGTAGTAGATAGATAAACTCACTTTATATTGGACTTGAATTAATCGTAATTGTATTTCTTATATCGATCCGTTTACTTTTAGAAGCAAGTAACTCATAGAAGTCTACAGTTATTAAGGTGATATTTATGTAATGATAACGATCTATGTATCTTTGAATTTCCTGTATCACAAAATAGTGAATATAGTAACTGTAAATATCCCCTAGGGTTCACTGTTCTCCCAACACGACAGGCAGGGCTGTGAAGAGACTCCTGCCCGGATGGAAACCAAGAAAGACTTCATGTAATTACTTCCAGAAACCACGACGATGAAAGTTACCCACCTGGATCCTCTTAAGCGGCTTTAGTTATATTAGTTTTATAAACCCTTGAGTTCCTGAGTTTAATAATTCAGGAGGGTGAGTGAGCTGAGGAACACGAAACAGCCCGCCAGACCACCCGCGGTTGCAGTCGGACGACACGCTCGTTAATACCCAGTGAGTGTTGTAGATGCGGCACCTCAGCATAGATTGTAGCCTGAGGTGTGGCACCACTGCAGAGGTTGTGGTGCAGACACAAGGGAACTTCTGGCAGAAAAAAAAATTTGTTTTCCTTGTGATTTTTAACCTGCGGTGAGTACAGTATACAAGGTAAGGTTTCTTGTTGCTAAACTTTGAAGGTTTCTTACTGAACCATTTTTACGTTGGTGAAATTTTAAGAATATTTACGTACCTAAGTATGCCGACTGCTGAGCCGCAAACTTCTAGAAAAAGAGAAAAGTGTTTTTTATAGTTTCTCAATCGTCTGTGTGAACGAGAGACTGAAAGTAAAATCATTTACACGAATTAATATAAACTTACTGTACTTCTGTAAACCACAAGAATATGCAGTAATCACATTCTAAAATGTCTTCTTGTTAGTCTCCACGAGAGTTGTTATAAGTTACACATTAACAACCACCTGGAGGGTAATTAGCTAACTCAATGTAAAGAGTTAATATCCTACGTGGTTGGTAAATGGTCACACACACACACACACACACACACACACACGAATCCAGGAAAAAAGGCACTGGAAAAACCTAACCTAACCTAACCTACGTACAATGCCATCATATATATATATATATATTGTGTTGTCAATGTGTACAAGTCATGTGACATTTTTTCCTGTGACTTTGTTTCCATTGACCACACACACATACTGTACACGCATCACATAAACGCTCGTAAACTCACGCCGACACATCTTCCTGCATAGACCAGAACACACAGACACACATCCAAGCATGCTAAGAGACACATAATTAATTTTAGTTTAAGATCACCTCTATAGTGTACAATTTACAGTTCGCCCTATCCTTTGTTAGGCCAGCGTCAGGGTGATTAATTTTCAGGTGGTATAATATGGGAGCAAAATCTGCAGATTAAGTTAGATAAGGTCATGGTGGTTAACATTCAGGTGTAATTAGTGACCCTTTAGTTGTTATTCACCCCCTCCCACCCCCCCCCCTCCCCGCCAAGCAGCCAGGGCCACACCATTACACAGGAACCCACCACGAGGTAATAAACTAACATACTACGACTTCAGGGACCATCAGCCAGTGTGGTGGTGCACTGGGAAGCCCCGCGCCTCATCCTCCTTCCTGATTTGTTGACCATCACCTGAGCTCTGTTTACGATGACGTCATTATCCAAGAAACTACCACCAGGTGACGTGATTGCTTGAGACTAAAGCAACTGGAAGCATTTATATACGAGTTTATGGATGAAGGGTGAATTTCTACAAAGATAGCTCAGTGTGAAATCTCATTATAAGGTTTATTCCTACAAAAAATAATTAAAATTTAAATCGAGGTATCTGAGTACAAGTAAATTCACGTATTTCAATTCATTTGTTGTTGTTTTCACTTGTTGGTAATCGTCGACAAGCCAACTCTTAATGGTGATGGATGTTAAGTGATTCTTACCCTTCACTGGTCGACGTCACTACCCGAGTGTTTGTCTCAGTTCCAACATGAAGAGAGGATTAACTTCTATTATGAACACCGTAAAGTATTGATCGATTACTGTACACCAAGACTTTAGTCGTAGTAAAAGAAAATTATAAGGGAAAAAGTTTTAAACATTCCTCAAAATACTACAGTACAATTACCTGATCTGGTGTCTTATTCTTCTTTGGGTGATGTTTTTTTTTTCATTATGGATCACAAAGAAATTTAGCAGCTAAGTAAAAAATACTTTTCTTTTTTGCAGTAAGAACTTCGCATTAATTTACTAATTTATTTTGACAGCATATTAAAATACCAGATCACAATATATACAACCAAACCTCAGATACGGTGGAAAATCCAATTGTAATCAGCTGTCCTTGTAAATAAAGTCTTACAAAATATTTGCTTTTGTTTACTGTTCAAAATACAGAAACTACACGAGCAGTTCTTTCACGACATAGAATACAGTAATTTTGTTTTTCTTCAGATGTATTGAAGCCTTTGGGAGACAGGACATTTGGTTGTAATGTTTAGTGTTCAAGGCGCGACACAGCTTCCCTTCTCAATCCAGGGAAAACTAGTGTGAAGTTTTGGAAGCAAAGATCCATCAGTTCATTTTCTTTTTTTACGGGATTATCCCACCCGGGCACAGGTCAATTACCCACTCAGGGCCTGGTGGCAAAATATAATGATGATAATAATATTATTAATAAGAATAATATAATAATAATTAATAAGCATTATGAAAAAATAAAATAAATAATAATAATAATAATAATAAATAAAAATAAAGATCAATAGTGAGAAGCTATTTATGTAAGTTGTGTCGTCAAAGTAAGAGAAACAATTTAAACCCTGCATTTGTGTATAAATGAAGCAGAAAGTCAGATCAGCATCCTGGGACTTGGTCACAATGAATCAACTCATGTGAATCGTCAACTCATATGAATCATCAACTCATATGAATCATCAAGTCATATGAACCACCAACGCATATGATTAATCAACTTATATGAATCATCAACTCATATGAATCATCAACTCATATGAATTATTAACTCATATGAATCATCAACTCATATGAATCATCAACTCATATGAATCATCAACTCATATGAATTATTAACTCATATGAATCGTCAACTCATGTGAATCATCGACTCACATGAATCATTAACTCATATGAACCATTTAATGATACGAACAATCAAGTGATACGTATTAAAAGATTCGAGAAACACTTAAATAAACGGGTTGGTAGTGAGCCAGCCTTGACCGCTTCAACACGTTGCCAAAGACGCAGACAGGCTGTGGTTGGTGACGTCAAAAAATATTTCGACAAAATCCCGTCTAATTCATTTCAATCTGAGCTAAGTCTAACTACTGTAGGCTAATCTTACCTAAACTAGTCTACTGCAGCATAACCTAACCTATCCTAAACTTATCTAACCTAATCTTGTTTAAAGTAGACTTAACCTAACCTTAGGCCTGAGCAGGAGAGGTGAGAGGTACAGTAGCTGTGTTTATACCCAGAGAGACACTCATGTGAAGGTATTATCTCGGGGTTGTTTTAGTACAGGTGAGTAGAACGATCAGCCTTTAGTTATTTACACCCAAACATATTTATAACGTCAACGATATGTGTCTACGGTGTATTAAGATAATGAAAAGTGAAAGTGGATCATATATCTGACGACACGTTAAGGACTCTGTAGATACAACCAAATGAAGAAAAAGCCTTTGGTACACAGTGAGTCAATGATGCCGGCATAACTCACTCCCGTCCCAGCACCTCCCAATTGTAAAGTTAATACCCATTCTGGTGGAATGGTGGTGCTCCATTCTGGGACCGGCTAAGGGAATCGAACTGGGGAATATATGTGGGTGAGGAAGCGTGCGGTGTGGTGCAGTCACTTGGCCACCCGCCCCATTTAATGTTGATGGTTTTGGAGAAAACATAATGTTGATAGTTGGTGAAGCGACATAGGTAAACCCAGATACTGTATATATAGTATTTGGGTTCTTGTTAAGGACCAGTAGTATCAGAGTAGAACACATCTGTTGCAGCAATAAAGATGTATGATTGCCAATAAACGAAGGCAGAACGCTAGCGAGATTATTGAATTGAAACAATTGAATTGAAACAGTTTATTTAGCCAGAAAAACACAGATACAGAGTGGATAATAATAACAATATTAACATGGCTGAGCCAGTTGAGAACCTGAGCTCTCTTTGAGGCACCTGATATATACTATACATCTATGTCAAGGAAGTATTATGTAACATTTAGTATCATCTGGAATAGTACAATAGCTTGGTGGTAATAAGAACATCTTATAATGTTTCCATGGTTATCACTTCAATATATATATATATATATATATATATATATATATATATATATATATATATATATATATATATATATATATATATATATATATATATATATATATATATATATATATATATATATATATATATTTACGGGATTATTCCACCCGGGAAATTCCGGCACGTCGGAAGTCTCCGAAAATATTTTGAATCGAGAGCTCTTCTCCATAACACTCTCAAAATCTCTTGTCTCAGCAGGAAACAAGGCAGCTCTGCAGGATAGAGGGAAAGTCTCAAAAGATGATAATTTTAACAAATGCTTACTGATGTGTTCTTTCATAGATGTTGTAGTTCTTATTTTGAGGTTGTTTTTAAGTTTGTTTATATTCCAATATTTTTTTTATTAACTTTATTTGCTAGCAATTTAATGTTACGTTATTTTACTGTTTTGAAAATAAAAACAACGAACGAGAGACAGACAGACAGACTGACAGGCAGACAGACAGAAAAACATACAGAAAAAGAGAGAGCGTTGGGGAATAAGAATACAATAGAGAGTAGTAACATAGAACAAAATTCAATAGTATATACAAAGAAAGGAAAAAAAAATATTAATTTTAGACACGGGAATAGAAACAGGTTCAGGAGTTGAGACTACAGCAGACTCGTGATAAAAGACTAAACAAACCGGAGCAAACCCGAGGTGGTGGCTGGTGCCGCTGCCAAGATGTCAGGCGCCAGCATTACTGCACAATACCGCAGCTCCCTTTACCTTGGCAGTCCTCTTGGCACCCCCTTCTCCCTCATTCTCCTGGACCTCCCCTTACCTACCCTCCCCTCATCCCCCGTGGTGTGGCACACTTTGATGCCTTCCTCGTACTTCCTGACCTCCTTACCCTTGACGACAATTTTTCTTCGTCCCTCCCTACAGATGACGGCCCCTTTCCCTTAACGATAACTACTGCACGTCCCTCCTCCTTCCCCAACTAGTCCCCCTCTCCTGGCCCCTCCTTCTTCTAATAGTCCCCATCTCCAGGCCCCTCCTGCCTCTAATAGTCCCCCCTTCTGGCCCCCTCCTTCCCCAACTAGTCCCCCTCTCCTGGCTCCCTCCTTCTTCATTAGTCCCCATCTCCAGGCCCCTCCTGCCTCCTAACAGTCCTCCCTTCCGTCTCCTCCTTCCCTCCTAGTCCCCCCCCTTCTGGCCCTCTTCCCCACTAGTCCCCCTCTCCTGGTCATCTCCTCCTTCTTCTTTCTATTAGTCCCTCCCCCTCTGGCCCTCCCTCCTTCCCCCACTAGTCCCCCTCCTGCCCTCCTTCTTCTAATAGTCCCTCATCTCCAGGCCCCTCCCTGCCTCTAATAGTCCCTTCTGGCCCCCCTCCTTTCATTAGCCGTCCCCCTGCCCTCCCCTACTAGTCCCCCTCCTGGCCCCTCCTTC